TAGTAAAAACGCTGAGCATCATGAGATTGCAAGATACATAACAAGCTAGTGGATGGATGGATGATCCTCAACAGCTGTGGCACATATTCCTTGTCTGCCCTTCTCCCACCAACCTGCTGGTCACACACACAACAGCCTGCAGCATGGCAGCCAAGCAGGCAAAAGCACCACACACCAAGCTTTTGAGGAAATTAAGCAAGGGGTCCGTGGGCAAGGGTCATGAAGCAAGAAGAAACCAATGCTCAGCATCACAGCCCAGTGCTCATAAACATATCATAAAATATGAGGGTGAAAGAACCTGGCACAGACAGTTCCAGGAGCTTTCTGGAAGTGGGAGTCAAGATCTTGGTGCTGTGAGAAAAGTTAGTTAAGCCTTAAGAGAAAAACTACAGCTTATGTTTGATGTGAGATGGAGAGTATCAGAGTGGTGAAAAATGACGTGCAACACAAACGATGACTGGAACAGCACATCAGTTGTATCCTAAATAGAAGGAGAAAAAAATGGATTTTTGGAAGTAGTTGAAATAGAAAAGAGAGAGCAATTCATGGGGGAAAAAGAAGGAAGTTTTCCTGGGGAAAAAAGGTTCAAATTAAATGACTCTATACAGAAAAGTACAGATTTCAGCATTAAAAAATAAATAAATAAAAAAATGCAGTTCTGCAGTAACTTTCTTATTCCAGGAAACAAGCCATTCCCTCTTTTTCTGTGCTCTTCAGATTATCACAGCACTGGCATTTCATGGGAGCCCAGCAAGAACCAGCCTGAACTTGAAGAGATGCCACAGGAATACTGCTGCTTTACAACAGGCTCTTCCGGAACTTTTTTCCCCACACCCACTGAAGGAATAAAACAAGCTGATAGCTGAATAATGTAATCAATGCCAATTCATTGCCTCGTAGTTCAGTAAATTTGCAGAAAATATGGAGTGTGAGGTAAGGTACTTTAGAAAAAAAATCATGGTCTCTGGACAGAAGTAAAGTGGAATTTTTCATGTTAATGAAAATCATATGTACATTGTATTTTATGAATACACAGTTTAAAAACTATTCTTCAGGGTATATATCATGATAGGTACAGAATCCAAAAACTAATGAATATTCTATTCAAAACATATGGATATTTAAAACAATCTTTTGAATAAACTCCCATCCAGAAATCATGTTCTTAGCAGGTAAAAGATCCTGCTGTTTTTACTCTCCTGAAAAACAACACTGACAACAGCTAGTAGCAGGAAGAATTTCATTTTTCAGCACCATGGCTGTTTTCTTACCAGCCTGCTATACCCTGCCCTACCTGTGTTAGGGACGCTGTTTACTTAGTCCTGCAGGTCCCTTCACCAGGATCAGTACCCCCACTTATAGGAAGTTTTGGAGAGAAAACAGTATATTTCCCCAAAGGGGTGGCAAGCAGAAAAGGCCTAGCCACCTCTAAGCCAAATGAAATTTATTACAGGCAGCCCCACAGGCTGACACCAGGATTAAGTACTTCTGCTTAGTAACGGTTAAGCTACAAAATACAGCATATTTTTAATTTTATAAGATATTTAGAAAAAACAAACAAACAAACAAACAAACTGGGATGGCAACCATATGAAAAAAAGTGCACATGCTTTTAGTATATGTAGCAGAATTATTATTTTTTTTTTTTTGAATCTTCAGGGCTACAGGGCATTAGTTGCCAATTACAAGCTAACAAACATAACAGAGCATTTCTTCTGAAAAATAGTTTATAAATATTGTTTCTCTACTGATGATATCATACTTCCACAACTGTCGTGAAACTGTTATCAGAGATTTATGAATCACCTCCACCATCTCTTAACTGAAAAACGTGTAACAACCTCTTTCAAAGGAAGCTGATAACATTTCTCATCATAACATAATAATTAGAATGAAATAGAAGTTTTTACAGAATTGTGATGAAGTCTTGAAGGTCACTCACTGGGTTATGTGACTCCAGGACAGAAGCGACCTACCATTATGGAAGGTTACACATACAGACAGAACAATAAAAATAGAAAGAGAGGAGGGGGGAAAATAAATAAATAAATAAAAAATACCACTTCTCTCCGTACTATCCATATTCTTCAGTTATAGGAACAAGCAACCAACAAGTAAAGCTGGAAAGCACAGAAGAACACTGGTACATAATAGAGGAAAAATGAAAGGAAATCATCTGAATCTGGGAAAAAATATATACATTAAAATACTGCTTAAGATGGGTTTTTCAATGGAATTTGCAACAGTAAAGCCAGAATCTGGTATGAATATTCAACAGAAAGGTTATTTAAATTCTTTAGTTGCATCTATCAAAGTAAGAAAATTGAAAAAAAAAAAATCTGCAGTAGAAGTGCAGAGTTTTCATAAGTTTTGTTTTGCATTTATTCTTCATGAGCACATATCAGTGAATAAAACTCTGACTCTCATTACAAACAAAGCATTTAAACTTTAAAGTGGTATGTTTAGAAATGCAAGAATTCAGGTCTGATGAACTGAAGCACGAGCAGAAGCACTCAATTCTTTCTGAAAGTCATATTGCATCACAGCTGGGAATCACAAACTACCATCCACTCAGAAGTATAGAAAAGGTGACAAGTAAAATCAGAGGTGACTTTTCTCATGCAAGAGGCAAGATTTTGAACTTGTTGAGCATGAAATAGAAGTTTTATTCCTCTGAGCAGACTTGTATTGATCTCAGCATTGATGCAATTCATTTCAAGTAGTACTCCCTAAAACAAATTCTCCAAATACATTGTTCCACCTTGTCTTTGATAAATAAACTATTGGTTTACAACATTGCAAAACCACCATCTTAGTGTGTGTAGTAGATGCAACTCAGAATTCATATGTTGTGAGAAATGCTGATGTTCCAGAGTATGGTTCACCACAATTTAAAGCAAAACAAGAGTTTCTTCAGCAATAAAACAAAACACATCCTGAATTTTCAACATTTGATATTGCAAAATATTCTAAACAAATTATACATTTCATGACAAGTCAGCAGCAGTACACTACAGACTTTACTACAGCTATCAATGACTCAGGTTGATTTTATGCAAAAGCTAAAATATTTCCTCTGTTAGTTAATGAGGATTGAAACAGATGTTTCTTCTTGATCAACATCTCCTGATTCTGTTGTCAATAAATATTTTGACAGAAGCATTAGGCTGTTTTATTACAAACAGTAGAAAACCTGAAAAGGAAGATATTTCATTAATTTTGATGGAGTGGCCTCTTTGATGAAGTGACTATTTTAAAAATCAGAATTACACCTCCTGAGTTTCAGCTTTCAATAAAGTTTTAAAATATGATTAAAACCCAAATGCAGTATAATTGAAATATCCCTAACACACCCAAACTTTCTAAGATGGTAATATCACATTTTTAGGAGTTCACAAAATAGCCCAAACCTCATAAACACCGTCAAATAGGTGCAGTCACTGACAGTGACCATGAGCAGATACCCAGGAAGTAGTATAAGACAAAGGGCATCTATGCCTCTTTTCATGTGCCTGTGATGCACATCATCCTCTCTTGCTTTCCCACCATTCATGATGGGGTTGTTCCTGAGCCACATGTTGTATCCACATAATTGACATCCCTCAATGGATTTCACTTCCAAGAGCTTCCCATTTCTCCTGACCTCCAAGGCATTCCCTCATTTAGTTGAGGCATACTTTTGTTTCCCAGGGATTCATTGCTGCCACTGGTTCCTCAGCCTAGATTCTTACTAATTTGCCTTTCATTTAAAGGCTGGCATTATTACCTCTCGTAATTGTTACTTATTTGATTAAAACTACATAACTTGTTAATAAACAAGATACTGAAAAATGCAAGTGAATAAAGCCAGCTACTTATTAACTGATGATAAACATAACACCATAACATGGATGTTTCTTTGACACACACCACCCACCCCAGTACCTGTAGTATTGGGCAAGAAAAGATTTCTCCCCTTCTCCCCTTAGTAGGCCATGCAAGTTAACAATTTTCAAGCTATAAAAGCTTTTATATGAAAAGGCTTATTTTGTTTTCGGGGCTGGGGGGGGGGGGGGGGGGGGGGGGGGGGAGCAGGGGGTTGTTTTATTTTTTAAATAAGCAGAAAAAGCTAAATTAAAAAAAAAAAATAGAAAGGCTGATGTAGGAACAAGTTTGACACCTGAAAAAAAATATGAAAAACAAACATCAAGTGTTCTCTGATTCTCAATGAACTGGTTGACAGAAGGGTCTGTAGTTCGTAGCACAGTAAGTCAAGCCAACACTTTTTGTATATTATCTTTTTCTGAACATCCATATCGATACCACATCCTGTAAGAAATTTTGTCTTCAGCTAGATCGAATGGCAGCCTCCCACACTTCCACAATACCCTTACCACAGCAAAGCCCAAAGGTCTGGAGCTGGCCAGGGCCCACACCCAGAACCAGGCCAGTCCCAGTGGGACTCAGCCACATTCCAAGCATCTCTGGTAAAAACTGCAGACAGCTCGCCCAAAAGAAAGAGAGAACCTCTTGGCTGCAGCTGCTGGTACATCAGAGGCTGAAGTTGTAAGATATCCCCAGAAGCTTTTTACTACAGTTAAAATTCTTTCCTAACATTTTATAATTTTTAAGGTTTTATGTTACTGAAGGTACGATTAAGATTAAAGCAATATCCTTTTCAATTCATATAGTCATTCATACAGTTCCTTTCCAAAACAGAAAATGATACTATCATACTGCCTTGAACCTCCAGTTGTACCAAAGTGGAACTCAGCTACCTAAGGGACTACATCTTTCTAGAGTAATCAGATGTTAGACATGCTACAGGTATGAAGCACCTTGGAAAAGAAACCGGTATTTCAGCATGAATTATAATGAACTATCTTCTTGCTTTTACACTTCATGTGGTTTACCAGATACATACAAACAAATATTGGAAGGGGAACATTTTCATGAATGCAAAGTCTAACTGTGCAAGTCCCAGCCACGTGGATAGCACACCTAGAAACCATTCATGTGAGAAAGGAGGTAGAGGATCTACCCTGCTAAGTATTTCATTTATTTAATCATACATTATTAGTATCTGCAGTACGGGTGCTTGTCACTTGTTGAACTCAGCAGATCTCTGCTTTAACAGCAAAATAATAGACCAAAGAAATAATTAAGTGCATAAACTAGCATATTTTTCAAACACGCTGGTTATTTCTAGCACTGGTCATGCAGATCCACAGTGAATATTCAGGCTTTTCTCAGTTTTACATGTGTTACAGCATGGTCCTTCCATTTTATTTAGTGTCCGTCCCTTACAAAACCTTTTGTAGGAAGTGCCAGAGAGTATAAACAGATCCTTTAGAATCTCCTTCTGCCACTGTTAATGTTTTATTTTTTACTGATTAGTAATGTTTTCATCCCTACTCATTTCTGGCTAAGCATGTACATACATTAGTAAGAAGTCAATACATTTCCCATATTTCTTCCCTTCCCTGAGGGACCTCAATGCCGACCACAGAATTTTTTCCCTTTGAGGCTTATACATTGTCCTCTTTAAGTGGCTGCTCTTTCTCTCTTTACCATAAGAACGTGATTTATTGTAACCAGTATGAAATCGGGGTTCAGGGACCTCTAATAGCAGGCGATGCTAGCCATGACATGAAATGGAGACACTTTGAAATCATTACTGCTATTTAAATTACTCTCCTTTCATTTTCAGCAAATATGATGTTCTAAAGCCTGGGGTGGACGATTAACTTCTCTGACTGGCATTTTCAATAGTAAGAATTCCCATCAAGTTTAAAGATGAGTATAGGATAGAACTGGAAAAAAGATTTTAATTGTGCTCGCTCCCAGGTCAATAATAAGAACTGCTAAGGGCAGGGATAGCAGAAGAGAACAGGAAAAACGACCACGACTTGTGAATAGTACTTTAACCCAGCAGTTTGAAGTATAACGGTCCAAATACTATTTAGTAATTACTTTGCCTGTGGAGGTTCATTTCTTTTTTTTTTTCTTTTTTTTTTTTTTTTCCTGCCCCCATAATACATTTGAATTAGCAAGTGGATCACCATCACACAATATTGCTACTACTTGGCAATTGCCAATTCTACTACATGTTACTCATTTCAATGACACAGAAAGACATATGCTATTTACCCTTAAGCTGCTAAAGCATGCATACACAAGTGATCGCCATTACAATTCTGACACTTCTTTATGTTAGACATGGTGAGAACACCACAGAGACATTATTTATAAAGGAAATTTGCAAGTTTATAATGCAATCCATGGGGTGTGTTTACACATACACTAGAGAATAGACTTTTACCAAGGGAAGAAAAAAATCCATCAGAAAGCTGAAATTTCCAGTCTCACCAAAAGTGAAATTGTTTTCATGCAGATGTTGCCTGCTGGGAGTTTTAATTAAGTGCCTTGGGGGGTATCTGTAGCAGATATACTGTGTTCCTTGGCCAGACTGCCTAAGTTCCTGAAGTGTCCTGCTATTTCCACACTTAACAAGTTTATGAGCTTCATGAAGTTTGGGATCCTATTCCTGTTGGAAGCATCCACACTGGAGAATAAGGGAATGAGAAATAAAATTACAGCTTTCTGGCATATCATCACTAGATAGCCATATATTTTAGGTGACAATATACATTTAAAGGAGCATTTTCATTTTTCCAGAGAAGGTTCAAAGTTTTCTCCTGAGTTCAGGCATTTTTCTCACACACAAAGTGATAGAGTCAAAACAATAAAAGAGTAAAGACAGAATTTACTCAATTTTAATACCCATTAAGAGAGACAAGTATTTTTTGTGTATCCCTGGGTTTTGCAACAACATTGGTGGGCTGGGTCGGGAAGGGAAATGATTCAGTTGGCTGTCAGGTCTTGGGGAGTGGGGAGGAGGAAAGATTACTCCAACTGCAGACTGCTATCATAATGCTTGGATATCACTGAAGTCCTACTTGAAACATCATCTTCATCAGTTTTGGGTGTGTAGCAGTCCTTTCCAGATCAGTGAACATTACACTCAGTGGAGTAACAACCAAGAAAAATATATGCACGTTTATTATCTCCCATGGTAATAGCACCATCACTTTTCTTTTCCCCACTGCTCTGGGGTCTCACTGTATGGTTTACTATCAGGTGTTAGAGATGTTTGTTCTAATTAATTTGCAGGCCTATTTTGAGAAGTGCCAGAAACAGATTTTTGACTAGTTTCATATGCCTTCGCAAAAATTACATCTGACTCTATACAAAATACCAGGTTTTGCTCAATCATTCATACAATACAAAGAGTGATAGTTAAAACAGAAATACATGAATGTTACTCTAACAAAATATAATTTCATCCTAATTTCAGGCTTCAGTTTGGGGGGAATTTAGACATTCAAAAAGAGAACAATTAATTTGCTGAAACTTTCTTGCACAAATAAGCTTTCTTATATAAATATAGGAGGAGTTATGAATTAATTGCTGTTGTTTCAACTACAAATTTATTGTCTTCCAACAACTACGTGGCTCATACTTTCCAGCAAGCTGGCTGATCTCTCCATTCTTTTGTTTCCTCAAGTCAGCCTGTGAAAATACAGGTAAGAGTTCTGCTTGTGAAATGCATTTTTATTATTTCTCAGTAAATACTTAATGAATCTCATTCCACATCCAGCATTACTCTGGTCACAGGGTTTAATAAAGAAAGTCTGCAATTATGGATGTGTCTGGTTGCATAGTCTTTACAGCCTCAGAAGTTCTCCCTGTGGCTGCCCCAAGATGACACAAATATGCTGAAAGTGCCCTTATATTCAAATATACTTCAACTTTGCAGAAAATAGCAACCTTTGTTAAGATGCTATTTGAACTACATCCACACTGTTATAAGACGTCTCTGTTACAAGAAATTAACGCAGGACTACAGTGAAGCAACACACACACAAATAAATTCTTTTGTATATTTAACAATAGTAGTCACTTCTTTAGCAGCCCTTCACCATTAAATATCTTGATTGCTACTGTTTAGTCCTGGGACATACTAGTACTTTCATTCTAAGGAATGAAACAGTTTATATTAATTCAGATTGATAGCATCACCGTAGTTATGTAGCCTGAAATGCATAGAATAAACAAGATGATTTAGAGGTTCCTGTAGCCTTACAGTTTTAGAAGTAGTTCTGAAGTGCATTTCATCACATTATTATCCAAATTCTGACATGTCTAGCCTCTTGTTTAGTTATAATCATGTGGGTAGTAAGAAAAGAAATGCAAGCCAATTTGCAAGGATTATAGTTGTCCAGGTGTCTTTATCACCCTAATCATAGCAGGGATCTGGCATTCAAAGATAAAGCATAGTTGTGTTTAGAAGGTCTGCATTTCCTCTCTACACACAAATAATATTTAAAAAAAAAAAAAAAAAAAAAAAAGAGGTAAGGTTTGCATTTAGCAAGACAGACTGTGTAGACATGGAACTTGTGACAGCAACAAAAAGTCTACTATCTTGGTTTTTACACTGATAAAAATCTGTAGATATAGATACAGATGGCAAGATTATGTTTATGCTCATTTACATGGTACAAAGATCAGGTCTTAACTTGGACTTATAAAAACAGTGAGTAAAGCAACATCTGGAGTTCTTCACCCAGTGATAGTGTTAGCAGCAGTATACACAGAAATATAGTGCTTTATCACCGCAAACTAAGCTTCAATTCCAAATTGCACTGGCAAAATATCAATCCCCCAGCACCAACCCTTCTTGCAGAAGAGATCTTCTGAACATCTCTGCAGATGAGAGACTCAAATCAGTGTCATTTAGAGGTGCTAGACAATATCAGAAAATTATCTTTAAAAAGAGGTTATTCTCCCTGAAGCTCAAATTCCAGTCAACATTATGCATTACTTCACCTGAAAGTGATTATTTAAAAAGCATTACCTGCTCCCTTCTACCAACCAGCCTTAAGGAGCACCAGGAGGCTACTTCAGGAAGTTCTTGTGCTGTTTTGCATTCCATAAAGAGTCATCCAGCCATCCACAGAAGACTGTTCATTAAGTGTCAAGAGATGTAAACATCTCACTGCAGTTAAAGAAACCCCATGGAAGCTAGTAAACTAGATGAAAGGGGGCAGTCACAACTAGAAATCCTTACAAAGACTATCCTCCAGGAACAGTGCAAGAAAGCCAAAAGTAATGCACTGTGGCCAGTAAAAGAAATTCCCCTTCCCACATAAAGTCCTGCCCTATAGTCAGAGGAACCTAGGAATTGATGTCTTTACAAAATAAAAAAGATATACAAGAAACATCTCTTACTGAAAGCCATACCCTTGCAGAACTCCAGTACAGAACTAAAATTCAACCCGAGTGGTTTAGAACCCTTGAACATCAAACTGGATACAACACACACAACCATGGAATGGAGCAGCTCCATGTCCCTGTGTTATTGCTGAAAAGATTGGTAGAACCCATCTCCAAAGTGATGCAAGTAATTAAATACAACCCCCCAAAAGAGAAAACACATTTGCCTGCTTTTTACAAGCACTCTGACTTCCCTCTGAAGTGAAAGCTTCTCGTTCACTCCCCTTCTTCCATTATACAAATGGAAGCACACTACGCCTTAGCTATATGGGTTTTCTTTTTCTAGTTTCTTTCCATCCCTATTACCTTTGTAATATTTCTAATTTAAATCTCAGTAATTCTTTGGCACCTGAATAATAACCAGTTCATAAAGACTTCAGAGCTTTTTGGATCTTTAGATTCAAATTAGTCACCCCACTCCCACTTAAGAAAAGTGGGACAGGTTTGTGCCTGAACACTCTTAAAACAGTAAAGCATACAAATGTACCTATTCATATATATATATGCATGTATATGTGTATATATATATATATATATATAAAGCCTCCAAAAAGCAGCTTTATACCTTGCATTTATACTGTTTCAGCTTTCAGCAAGCCATGTATTTTTTCATTAGCTCATCTTGCTCTTGACAACTACATATTTTCCTCATATTTTTGGTGGGATTTACATACCTTCAGAACAAAGTCGTTCTCCAGCTTGGTCCAATTTCATATCAAAATCATATCTGCCAGACATACTTGAATGGAAAACACTATCACAACCTTAAATATATGCAATGCAGGCCTAACACCAGGAAACACTGAAGGTAATCACACTTCATTTGTGTTACCATGTTTCCCAGGTGCTGCTGCCCTTTTATCTGACACAGCTGAAGCTTCCCTGAAGAAAGCCTTTCTGGACCACCCTGCCCACAGGCCAGTTGGAGGCATGGGCAGTCCCAGAAGGTAGTCAGGATAATTGACTATCCATGCCTGTGACCCCTGAAATAGTGAGGAGGGAGAAAGCAAGAAGAAAGTGCACGTGGGTAGGATCAAATACCTGCATGGAGAAGGAATCATTTGCAGGTGTCAGGAGGAGTTGCAGAGCAAAAGTTTTAAACCTCAGATGGATGAGAAGGAAGAAAATAGAGGAGGGATATCCTAGGAGAAGAGAAGAAAGGAGGAGGAAATTTAACTCACAGGCCTTTAAAATGCCATATAACTAGGTATTTTCTGTTCACAGCCTCCTAAAACCATTTCAATACTCAACCTTTCCTAAAATACCACTAGCTGCTCCCTCAGTCAGTGCTCTGGCTTCACAGCAATCCCTTGCATACCTGCCTGGAGGTCCTGAAATATCCAGACCACTCTCAGCTGTTATTCTGATGCTAGGATGTCCTGAACAGGTTCTACTCTGTAAGATCCTGAATAATACACAGCAGTATTTCTGAATTCTGTGTAGTTATTTCCTAATCAAGACTTTAAGAAAACATGCAAAGAGATTAGGACAGTGGAAATTATAGGTGCTTGAATCTGCTTCTAATTAGACAAATGATCCAATGTAGAACTTAAATTTACTGTAAGAAGAAATAGTACTAACTTTTAACCGGTGGAGGATGTACAGTGTATGGTTATTTGAAGAAAGTAGGACAGAAGCAACTGTAGATTTTTGGAAGTAAACGCTAATCTCTTGCCAGAGTGGAGTGCAATACTGCAGAAATATTAGTTGAAAGAGGCTATATCATTTACTGCCTTCCAAGATTCATTTAAAAAAAAAAAAAAAAAAAAAAAAAAAAACTAAATGGGAGGAAAAAACAAAACAAAAAAAAAAAAAAAAAAATACAACAGAATCACGGAATCATTGAGGTTGGAAGAGACCTCCAAGATCATCGAGTCCAACCTCTGACTTAACACTAACAAGTCCTCCACTAAACCATATCCCTAAGCTCTACATCTAAACATATTTTAAAGAACTCCAAGGATGGTAACTCGACCACTTCCCTGGGCAGCCTATTTCAATGCCTAACAACCCTCTCAGTAAAGAAGTTCTTCCTAATCTCCAACCTAAACCTCCCCTGGCATAACTTTAGCCCATTCCCCCTCGTCCTGTCACCAGGCACGTGGGAGAACAGACCAACCCCCACCTCGCTACAGCCTCCTTTAAGGTACCTGTAGAGTGCAATAAGGTCACCCCTGAGCCTCCTCTTCTCCAGGCTGAACAAACCCAGCTCCCTCAGCCGCTCCTCATAAGACTCATTCTCCAGACCCCTCACCAGCTTCACTGCCCTTCTCTGGACTCCCTTGAGCACCTCGATGTCCTTCTTGTAGCAAGGGGCCCAAAACTAAACATAGTACTCGAGGTGCAGCCTCACCAGAGCCAGGTACAGGGGGACAATCACTTCCCTAACCCTGCTGGCTACACTGCTTCTTACACAAGCCAGGTTGCTGTTGGCCTTCTTGGCCACCTGAGCACACTGCTGGCTCATAGTCAGCCGGCTATCAACAAAAACATGTGGAAACCTTAAGAGTACAAGCAGCAGCCAAACTTAAAATCCATGCTCATAAAATTCAGTTAAAAATAATAATAATAATAAAATAATAAAATAAAACCAACAAATAGCAGAAATGTTATATCCCATCAGAAATCAGTAGAACAGAGGTCTTTTGAAATCTCCTCCCCAACAAAAATAGGGAAATGCTTAGGAATTATTGGTGTAGTTATACCCATATTAAAAAGGGTATAACTGTTCACATTGGCAGATAGCTGGTAGTAACTTAATAACAAGGTTTTCACTGAATACATAGGCAACTTTACATATTCTGTTTTAAATTCTCTTAGGTAACTTTGACTAATTTCATCATATGTTTTGTTTTGTTTTTTTCCCTGATAACAAGACTGAGAGGTAATTACAATATCTTACTACTATCCGCTTCTTGCATTTGGTTTATTGATAAAAATAAAAGAGAATGAATACACCAACTCTTCTAGGTTAAACAATTTAATCACTTTGGATAATAGCTTAATTAAATAGAAAAACAACATGGAAGAAATGCGTGCATGGCTTTGATTGTATGTCATGTCCAGATTTTGTAATGACTTGCAATAAGTAAGCCATTCCTGGCAGCTAGTAAATGGAGCATTACTTGCTCCTTTGAGAGCAGTATTGTGCTAGAGTCTTATTCCTATAGAGTACTAGCATAGGGTACATTGGCTTTGTGGCCATCTAAGGAAGCAAAAAGAGCTCTCTTTTGCTCTCAAGTAAAGGAAAAGAGTAAGCCTTTTTTGCCCACTGATGTAATTTGCCATTCACAAAGTTACCGTTATGAGTGGGAAACAAAGATTTCCTGACACAAACAAGCCAAGTAAACCAAGAGAATATAATTGTAGAATTGAATAAAAAATAAAATAAAATACAATAAAAAATCTGTGGCATTGTGTAAAGACAAGCACTATATAACACAAAAGTGATAAGAAAAACAACAACAAAAAACCATCCTAGGGGATAAGAAATGGATATGAGTTGATAACCCTACAGAATGAACCATCCAAACAGGAGACTTTCTTCCCTTTCTCGTGAATCCAGCCCAGAAAAGTCTTCCTCACTCCAAAGCCCTCTATGTGGGTTTCTGTCTTTAGAAGCAGATGCTCTTCACATTTTCCTGTGTTTTGCTGTTACAATGCACTATGTGGCAGTGATCACAGTCTTCTTTCCCTCTGCATCAGTTGGACTATAATACTAAGCTTGAAAATGAAATCCTAGTACTGCTAGCATGTTGATGAGAACTTGGTCAGCTAAAGAGTCTTGCTTTTATTTAAAGAAAACTGTTGTTATTTTTGTGTTTTTGTGAGTATTCAGAAGCCTTGGTCCTTTCTGTTGTTTCACTTCTGATGTTTCACTTAAGCAAAGGATGCAGTCTTCTCCCCCCACTAAAATGTATGCTGGAAACCTCTTGTAGGGTAACTCTCCTTTTGAAGATTGCATGAAGAAATCAGCCAAATGTGCTTCGAAGACAAAGTTGTATTTCAGGCTCAGGAAAGTGAAACACATGTTGAAGCAAGTCACAGAGGGTGAGAATATACTTCTCTATTTTCAAGATTTTAAGAACAGGATAGACAGGTGGTGGGAAGTCAAGAATCATGAGTAGTCTTCCACGTCTAGATTTCTATGGTTCAGGCACCCAATTCACTATTTTGATTTAAAAACCTTGTGAGTTTGAACTTGCTGGATAAGGATGGTTTGCCCTATCAGGATAGAACGGGGTAAGGAAAAAAGTAACCATATAAGGCTGTATCATCATCACTGTGCAAGTAATGGTGGCTTTAAACTTTGTTCTTCTTTCAGTATGATTTCTTGTTTAGTAAATGGCATTTATAAATTATTTTCTGGATACAGGAAAACAATACATCTGAGAAGAAAATAATTTTGCTACTGAACAGAAATATCTCTGTTAAAGAAAAGCTCCAACAGTACTGTCCATCAGGTCTGCTCTCCTTGGACCCAATGAGAGAAATACTCTATTCTAAGGGCCCTGCAGAAACTTCCATGATCTTGAGAGTTCACAAGAAGAAAATACTAATCATATAGGCAAAAGGGGAAATAAAAAAAGACCCTTTATAAGAGGTACAAAAACATGCAAAACAAAAGACACAAACAAACAAACAAAATAACAACAACAAAGGAACCATAACTTATTTCCACTTTGCAGTAAGTTGGTATTCCAGAAATAGTACCTGCATTACAAACACTACTATAAACACAATAAACCCAGTATGAAAGCAGAGTGCCATGTCCACATCCAAGGTGGCTTTATGTTAGTTTTTTGATTAATCATTAAGGTAAAGAGAAGCTGACTAGAATACACAGTATTTACTAAGTGTCCATATCCTAAATGACAGTTATTTCTCCAGAGATTGTAGCTAATGTGCTTGCTCCAAAAGTTCTGTTTTGGAATATGGCTGAAATTTCTACCTTAGTTCCTTAATCTCTAACATTTGGCTGCAGACTCTTCTGCTAAGTTGCTTTCAGGCCTGGAACAGATTTCATGCTTGCAGAATGCATCAGAGTAGTCTTTTTATTTTAATACTTCACTTACACATCAGACTGCTGAACCTTCCATTCTTACCTTTATCAAAAATCGCCTCCTCAGATCACCCTCTCTAGCTTATATCATGAATATTTTCTAATGTTTTCCAAGGAAGAAATAGCTTTTTAAAAATTCTTTCTAAACTAAATGTCACATACCACTCACTTCTTTGAGGGTTGGGCTTAATGCTGTTAGCCAGAAGAGGCTTCTTCCACATATACGACTGTTACTTCAGCTTGTAAACTGGCACACGTAGCTGGGTAGCTGCTGAGATTCCTTTTGGAAACCAAGAACAATGGATTTACTGGATAGTGGAAATAAATAAATAAATCCTGCAGTCAGGTTTAAGTTTCCTTACCCAGAACACATAACTGATCTTGACGTTTGCCAGCACCCTGAAATCAACTTGAACTCAAGCAAAACTAATTGTAAAATAGGCCATTTATTAATTGAAGCTAAAAAAGATAAAAGTTACAAAATTTATAGAAAAAAATATGAAATATTAAAGTAAAACCTCTCATTTCACTCAGCTCTAATGGTTCACACGAATATGCATGGTGCAGCTGACTCACTCTTAGATATTCAGAGATCAAGTACCAGCATCTAGTCACTTAACAGAAAGGAAATATTTTTTTAAATCTTGAAGAAAATTTGATTGGGGATTCTCTACTTCCTGCTTCTTCCCAGCTCCTCAGATCTCTTCTAGATCTTCTTTTTCCCTGTCGCTTTTTTCTTCAAATGTTTCCTTTGATCTCACACCCTCTGGCTGCTCCCATATTCTCTGGAAATATTGGTGTCCACTGGGCATGATTAGGTGTGATTATCACTTGCCCAAATGGTAACAGACAGCTAGGCTATCCCCTTGGGCCAGTCTGGGCAATTTCAAGTCCTTCTGTAGGTCTTTTTCATGTTATTAACTTACATTTCTTTATACTCAGGTAAGTTAGCTAATCCTACTTTATACAGCCACTTTGCTAGTATAGATGTGCATCGTATAACTGGATTTCATTTCAGAACAGATAGCAGTAACCAGTCATTTTAGGGTAATAATGCCTCTGCTGACTGCTCCCTCAACCAACAATCCAGGTATAATCTGATACTTTTAAATAATAATGCTTCATATTACAAAGAGAATTATCACAGTGTACCTACCCATCTGTTCCAATAAATGTCCATCTCAGTTTCAAAATGAGATAACCAGTTGGCATCTCTAAATCTCACAAATGACTATGAATGGCTTTCTCCTCAGAGAAAGCCCCTAAAACTTGAAAGTCATTGGTACAGCAATGTACCTAGTTTTCTTTGGCACCACCTTGTCTTCAGGAGAAATAGTTCCAGGAACTTCTAATAATGTAATGATAATGTCCTATTTTTTTTTTTTTATTTTGTTTTGGCATAGAAGTAAATCCTCCAGTACCACATTGTGACTACAGTAGTCCTGGCTTTATAAAGAAAATCACAAATAAAGAACAACTGATATGACCTTTAAAGAACCTCCATGAACATGTTTTAATTACTTAGAGCAGCCAGAAATGGAAAGACGGTAATTATAAAAAACAGAAGTTTTACACTTCCATCAATAATCAGGTATACCATTGTTGATCTGAAAGGGGCTACAAGTAACACAGGAAAAACAAACAAACAAAAAACTTACAATGGAAAACTCCAAAAATAAAGTTAATAATCAGTCTAAGCTGAGTTGGTAAGTGTATAAGAATCCACAAATCCACAATAGGAAAAAGCAGCTCCTCATCATCTCGGGCATGCCTTATCAACCACCACCATAAAAATATTCGTAAGCTGAAAGGCTACTGTGTAAGCAAAAATGAAACTAACTGGGGAATATGAGCAGAAGGAACTGATCCAAAAGCTCCCATTGTCCTGTTTTCAGTGGTAACAAGTCTTAAAAAGAACGACAACAAATTATTTGTGCTTTGCTTGCTAGCATTCTGTGCTAACAGCATACACAAATGTTAGAAACAACCAAAGGTGACAATAAATATTTTCTTTAGCTATAAATACCAGCCTAAGCACGTAAAAGCTTTATTAACATACAGTGTTGCCAAATTTTGGATGATTCAGAGGAAAAAGAAACAGCAACTTAATCCATTAAAAACAGACTCAAAATGTAAATAAACCATGTGGCAGCATGCTTACTAGTTAGTCATGAGTTAGGAACTGGGAGACAGTGTGAGAACTCTTCCCAATCTACTACATGATCCAGACCAAGTTATTTAACTCCTATTTATCTATCTGTAACATGGGTTCAAGAAGTTATTTCCCAGATGTCAGCATGATGAAAGTTAATTGATGTTTGTAAATTTTTGCTAGAGTCCCTGATGAGAGGTGAACCGAAAATAATATCACATTCACCTTCTGGGAGCCCCTATATTTATTTCATAAATGCAATAAAGAGAAATTGAGGGTTACAAGAATTATTAAAAATTTGCTGTAATAATTAGTGATTCCAACATGCACATTCTAGTTCACAAAATATCAATAATTACTCATATGCTAATATAGAACATTTCTGGGTTAATGGCAGTTTTATACTGAGAGACTAATGCATACATTTTTACCAAAAGAAAGTTCAAATCACATTTCTATCCTTTCCCCTGCTGTGACTTTATTGAAATGATCAGCAAGGCTCCAAACCACAGGGAGAGAGAGAAAAAAGAGATAAAATATGGAATCTGGGGTTTTGTGGTTACTGTATTTTACTTTACCATCCTAAAGTATATTCCTGGGAAATCACAGCTGCTCCCAATTTTCCATCTCTAAAATAAGGACATGGGAATTGGCACCATGGACCCAAATTCAGGAAGCATTTTCCACAGAACTCTGTCTCCAGCAGTGAGAGGCACCATATGTTGCTATATGAAGTCCCCTTTCTACTCAATAGATTAGATAGATAGATTAGATTCTGGCTTACTTCCAACTTTCTTTCTGTTTTAAACATGAATTGTTATAATTCTGACTACTCTTGTTACCTGTAGAAATTTCTATCCTTCTCACACTTCTTGGTGACAATATCATTCCATGGCAGGTTTCCACAGTCAACTGAAATCTTGAGTGGCAAACCGTGAAGATAGTATAATTATCTTTCTCTATTCCTTTTTCATCGTGGCTTGTTTAGTTGCTCTCTAACATGGATGGCAAAAGAACGCAGTTTCAAACAAAAAGTAGTTCACTAAAAGGTGGGAGAAAATGCTGGGCGGGATATTCTCCTAATCATTCCTTTTCTTGTGTTCTTCCTCAGGGGACAGAATAAAGGATCTACATGTCAAAAATAAACACAAGAAGAAATAGCGTATTTTGAAATACAACTCCTAGGACAAGCTGGAATCCTTCTGTGAGATGTCCATGTGTTAAAGACAGGGACATTAATGCCTCAACGGCATATCCCATAAGAGTACAATGTGACTACTACAGAATCGGACTTCGTGTGTATCTAGTCTTAGCAGCTTGAGACAGAAGGAAGCAGAATATTTTTTTTTATTTTCTTAGTTCTGGCAGCTACAGGTTTTTATGGATCTGCAACTAAAGAAAGGAAAAAACAAACAAACAAAAAATCACCTAACAAGTCAGCTCTAAGAAGTAACTTCTCCAACCTGACACCTTGCAAAGTCACTTACTACAGTGACAACCTATTCATGAAATCTGATGAAACCACCTTATTAAAAAAAAAAAAAAAAAAAGTAATTGAAATAGCCATTAAATTTTCTCAAATAATAAAAGGCTTGAAGAAATACCAAGATCCCTGTGTCTATGAGTCTTGTCACTAGTATGTCTGGACTTCTCTTGCTTGATGCTGTGTGATTATTCTCATGAGCCCTTTCTATTTTTTTTTTTAATTAATAATAATAATCCATTGTCATTTATCCTGCATGGACCTAAAGATGTTTCTTTAGCATGGATTCAATTAAAAAAAAAAAAAAGTGTAATTTTTCTCCTACCTGCCTTTTCTTCACATTCATTCATCAAGATAAACAGAACAATCCTCATAGCATAAGTTGAATTACTGGTATTTATAACTTCCCTTCCAATAGAAAGGGACTATTTCTTTTCTTTGACTTGTTCTCTCAGACTTTCTGTGAAATCAGGCAAGTGCCTACCTGATCTGAACCTGAATTGTGTTTTCACAAAATTTTTGCAGCCATAGACAAATTTCATAAAATGAAAGGCAAAATTTACAAATCCTGAAGAGGCTGACAGAACTAATGCTCATGTTCCAGTACTTGGCACCATAATTCAAGGCCTAGTTCAAGACTAGCTTTCATGTCTTATTTAGAAGATGCAACTTCAGTTTACTTAAATAACTTTCCACTGTGAGTTTTGTCCTGGGAGTTTAATACCTGATATTCCTCTAGAAGTAGTTCCTCTATTTAGAGAATTTATGACAGAATGAGGGAAGTGTCTAGTGAAAGCTTCACAGAAAAACACAGCTAGCTAATTAAACAATTATTAGCACTAGACGTTTTCTTAAAATGGTATATGGAAATATACCATTTTCTTATATGGAAATATACCAATATATATGGATATATGGACATATATCGTATAGCTTGTTATGCAGACAGTATAGCAATCAATAATAACATATGCAAAAAAAAAAAAAAAAAAAAAAAAAGGAATAATGTTTCCAGTCTTGAAGTTGTGTTTTAATATTGTATTCTAAGGTCCAACAGTACATTTTTCATGCCTGGGTTTCCACTTGTACAACTTCAGGATGTTAAGAGTCCTTTTGGACGGGCAAGCATTTATCTTCCTTTACTTCATTACTTTTCTTCTGGATTCTCAGAAACTCTTGTCTTCATCTTCACGTAACAAGACTTTCTCTATCAGTTCCCATATCTTCCTAAAAATATATGGCATATAAACAAAATCACTGAGTAGAATCATAGAATGGCTTGGGTTAGAAGGGACCTTAAAGATCATCTAACCCCAATGTCCCTGCCATGGGCAGGAATGCCACCTAGATCAGGTTGGCAAATGCCCTATCAAACACTTCCAGGAATGAGGCACCCACAGCTTCTCTGGGCAACCTGTTCCAGTGTCTCACTACCCTTACAGTGAAGAATTTCCTCCTAATATCTAATCTAAATCCATCCTATTTTAGTTTAAGACCATTCCCCCTTGTCCTATCATTATGTACCTGAGTAAAGAGTACTTCTCCATCCTTTTTATAAGACCCCTTTAGGTACCGAAAGGCCACGAAGATGTCTCCCCAGAGCCTTCTCTTCTCCAGGCTGAACATCCCCAGCTCCCACAGCCCTTCATCATATGAGAGGTGCTCAAGCCATCTGGTCATCTTTGTAGCCCTCCTCTGGACTCATAAAAGCAAGACCTAAACCAGTGACAGCCAACACTTTGACGAAAATACAGACAGTGTTGGGGAATCTTCCCATTATAGGCCATACAAAAGGAACTGAGCCCTATCTCACCTAACTTCAGATACCTGCAGTTGCTTATATATAAAGATTCATATCCACAGGGAGAATGGTTCATTCTTTCTAAAATCATGCTACCCCAGATGATGAAAATTTTTTGGATTGGATCTAGGCAGAAAGCTACAACAGACCTGCCCAATCTTCTCAGTTGAATGCATAAGGTCTGATACATAAAGATGTGCTGTACCCCTTTAGATATTTCTAAAGAATAGAGGCCAAGAGAGCAAACTTTTCTAGATCTGGTATTCCTTGCTGAAAGCAAGAACAGTTTAACTTCATGGCACTAGTCCATACGTTTTTATCATGCTGAGTGTGGATGTCATCATATCCACAGCACAGCTTGTTTGCCTGCTGTATCCTTTCCTACTCTGACTTAGACGTGGATCAAGCAGTGCTATTAAAACTTGGCAATAAATATAGTGTCTTCTTTTTTTTTTCCCTCATAAATACTCACTGATATTAAAAAGTACATACTTCATCTAATTTTTTTCCTAGCCACTTTCTACAAAGTCTTAAGAGAGACAATTGACCAACACAAATAAGAATGGAAAGGTAAGTCCAAAAGGAATTTCACTATTTACACTAAAGCTTTGGGTACCTCCATCTAACCAGGAAAACAAATAAAACCATGTGACTTAATCCATCCATTTACAACCTGAGAACAGCAATTAAACTTCTGTATTTTGGATATTTTTATTTTCTTAATGGAGTAGTAAAAAATAAAATATTTTTAATTAGCTGCTAAGCCTGAACAGATCACTTCCTTGATGCAGAAAAAGTAGAAACTAGCCTGAGTAAATTGTTTGCTGCAAATTATTTATTTAGCTGCAGACACAAGCAAAATATTTGCCCTCAAATCACTGGACAATCTCTTCACACTTGAGGGAAGCTTCTACTGTAGATATTAAATAAGTATTAATCCATGCTTTACCTCTAATTAAATGTCATCTAAGTTATCTTATGTGCATTAAGGGCAAAGGATGATACAGTTTTGACTTCAGATAATTAGATGCCCTCCTTTAATTATGCCTCAAGATAGACTTTGATTCAGGAATCACATGCTTCATGAAAGTCAATGTTTTAGTGTTCCTGATCTGTCCTGGAGAAAGGGAATAATGTCAACTCCAGAAATATGATTCATAACATTAGAGGGGAAGAATTCTGGACATCCATTTTATAAAACATCTTATTATGCAATTGTCCCAAGAGAGTGTACATCTCTGAAGTGTTTATACCTAAGATCTACTGAAAGCAAAATGTTCTGTTAAAATTTTTCAACATTTAGTAAGTGTGCTTCTTTAAGTATCCTAGGGCTGATTATTTTTAATAATTAATATCATACAAATGTGACTAATTAACCTTGTATTCAACTACAGCTACTACTAATTGCCTTGATTTTTTACTATCAGTAGCTAACAGACTTCTGTGCTATTTTGCATATAGATTTGTAGCTGCTCATTAGCTTCTAGATTCTCTAGTACTCTGCTCTGGCAAAGCAAGGCTTGCAGCTTGAAGTAGGAAACCAGAAATATGCCACTGCCTGGTAACTGCTCTCCATGCTCTTTGTGGGGACATGGTTTATTCAGATCACTTGCATTGCATTACTGTTCTTTTCCAATTCCTCCCCTTCCCCTCATTACGCTAAATGAATGCATCCATCCAGGAAATTTTAACAACATAATACACAGTAACTTTATATCATAAAGCAGGTTACTTTCCATGTTTGTGAAATTATCATATATTAGTGGTCTTAGATCATTAGGTAGCAGCTCTTGAACTGAGAGCTATTCGCACTGCCATCCTCCAGCAACAAAATCTACTGTGCCTGGTCATTACCACCTTGTGCAATCTGATGTTGGCATTTCTCATGTTAATTAAAGATTAATTTACAGAAATGTAAAGCTTAACCTTAATTTTAGAAGTCCATAGACTTCTAGAATTATTAAGTTAAAACTTAATTGAAAATATTTACACATCATAAGATTTGAGTTGTGTTCTATTTTGCTAAAGTCTTAAGAATTCTGTGGAACACTATTCCCAACCCCTCCCTTTTTTATACTTTTCTACTACATTTTTAAAAGTAAAAAAATAAATCTGCCTTTGTCAGCTAATAAAACATATTCCTCCTTTTAACACCAAATGTTGGCAGTAAGTTCACAATAGAATCATTCTTTTCTGTATCAATGGATCATTTTCTTCAGCATTTATTGGTACTAATTTGGCCTTTTGTTTTGTTTTTTTAAAAAACAAAATTCTCATACCTCTACATTAAAGCGCACAGCTCACAGATTTTTTCTTACACAAGAATCTACAGTAATTGTTCTGGGTTATATGGCGCAAAATACCACCTGCCATCTAAGTTTGAGAAACCACTCCCTTACACAGCTTCATGTTATAACAACAGGAAACAATTCCACGATGTCTACCTGAAGTCTGAAAAACTAAAAGGCTAATCCAAAATGCAATAAGGTCAGTGAGCCATTCTGTGTATTTCTCAGGCCTTTCACTAACCTGTAAATAAACAGCTGAATCAATCAGGGAGGTTAATCAAAAAACATACATAATTCCCATTGATAATTTTTCTTAGTTTAATTCTCTGGGCCTTATCTAAGTTAAAACTATAATCTCTGTTTCTGTCTCCCTGCTGCTATTGTGTATATGCCATACAACTAACACCTGAATACAGCACAGCTACTGTTAATAACTAATCTGTTTTATTTTAGTCTAACAAGTTGCTAGGACAGGCATTTCCATCACTCTAACACTTTTTGTATAACCACACTGACATAGTTATTTGAACATTTCAGACTCACCTTTGATTTTCCTGAGTGATTCTCAGTTTACCTAAAATTCCTGTGATATGTCCTTCAACTTCCTGTAAAAAATAGATTAATTTTTGAGAAATATCAAAATATCCTTCATTACATAAGAAAAAATCTGCAGTGATACTAATTAGCAACACATCTGATCAGCATTTAAAATACTCCAATACTTTTTAGTCCATTAACCTTGACATAAATTATAGTAAGTGGTTCCTGTGTGACAGGAGTTTTAATTTAACACTACATCTCAAGTTACACACGTCTTTGAGTCTGACATCAAACCTCATTTCTTGCCAGTTCTTACACCCTGAGGGAAACCCAACAGACAGTAAAACCAGGTCCTACTGTGTAAACAAGGAAGGGTGTTTATAGCATTACTTTTGTTAAACCAATTACTTTTATATAAATGAGTGGATTTTTGTCTTTCAGCATACACATCCTTTTCTGGCTTCTGGATTGAGCTGGTAAAACAAACTCTGTTTGGGTGTAGTAAGTTTTGCATTTCACATTTCATTGACATCTGAAACAATGCTTGCTCTTTTGGCTACTGACACAGAGCTTCAGGCTTCAGTGTGCAACGGAGTATCAACTGAGCCAAAGACTGTTTTATTCAAGCTATTATTCACTTTTCTCAAGATATCTGTTAGTCTGTATATTTTATAGAAATCTTTCTAAGTTCTTCTTGCTGAGATATTCCATGGATTTAATATATTGGAGTTATCTACCACAGGCTCTTTTACCTCACTCCAGTGCCTTCAGTACAATTGGAAGCAGAGGGTTTTTGCAGCTTTGATTTAGATATTCAGATCAAAGTACCTTAAGCTTGCCACAGTAATTAAAATGATAACAACAACAATAATAATTCAATAAAAATAATTAATTAAAAAAAGAAAAAAGTGAAAATATATCCAGTACATTTCAACATTCTAGCTGGTAGCAAATAACAGTCCTAACTTGGAACCTGCTGAAGCCAAAGAGAATCTTTCCAATGATGTGTTATTAGAAATACTGAAGGTATCTCATGTACAAACTAATTTGCACTGTGCCTGAAGCACAATGGGTTCTAAGGAAATAACTTACTTTTATTTGGCCTTGGAGAAACATGTTTGATACATTGATTTTCATAGTTTCAGCCTGAAAAGACAGTAAGAAATCAGTTAAGTTATCCCACAACATACCAGCAAAACCAAATGCATCAAATCCACTTATCCTTAAAAAGGAAAAATGCAATCTGTATGGGAACAAACACATGGTACTTATGGAGCATTACGCCATCATATTTTTAAAATAATATGGCAATGCACTGGTTTAATTAGATTGCTCTTCTTAAATGATAACAGTCTTGTCCTTCCAAATAAAAGGTTTTACATTTTGAATTGTTATTACAAATAACAATAAAAACTCAATAACTCTCCACAAACATTCAACCAAAGTATACTTGGAGGGCAAACTCTCCATTGGCCTAGAACCACCACTCAGTTTTCTATCTAGACTATTTACGGTGTCTCAGAGATTTCCCTGCCTTGCTGCTGCAACGATCTCCTGCTCTAATAACTATACAATATTGCCATCTGCTGACTCTTCTTTTTCATTACAAGCATGAAAGCTCCCCAAGTCCCCCCCTTCCCCCCCTAAAAACGAGCCATTTATATTAATACCCTCTGAATGTTCATATTAGATAGAATAAAAAAAAAAAAAAAAAAAAAAAAAAAAAAAAAAAAAAAAAACTTGAAAGAGAGGAACTTCTCAGCTTGGCTACTTCTTTACTTCTTTAGAGGACCAGATTTCATATACACATCTGTTATGCTGTGGGAGCATATCTTACAGGGTACACAATCTTAAATTTCTGAAGGCATGGAGAGCATATGATCTCTTGTTTGCCAGGAAACAAACAAACAAATAAGTAAATAAATAAAATTGTGAAGACTAATTGCTTCTATTCATTTTTCTAATATCTTGATACCAAGTAAAATTGTCTAAATTAATCAAGGGTTCACCTCCTCCCCCCAAGTTTTGGTGCTGGAGGCCTGATAAACATTTTCAAAACAAGTGACAGACTTCTGTCTTGTACTGTGAGGTAGTAGTGAAAAAGGCTGTTTGAAAAGTTTTACTGGAAAAACAATGAGTTTCAATATATCAATTCAATTTAAGGGCAGTCAAGTATGGTACAAGAACATAACAGCTGTATCTATACCTGAACTTGTAAAGACAGAAATATAGACTTGGGGCAATTTTGGTTACATGTTTTTCTCAGCTTTCCTGTGATTTTCTGGCATCTTGGCTCTATTCTCTATACAATTAATTAATCAATTTGATGTTTTGTCAACAGGTAATTATGCTGCTTCAGGGGACAGAAAGTTAGAAGAAATGTTTGACCTTTTAAATGCTTATCTAAGCCTAAGATCTATGTAAACATTTTGCTGTTTGCCCACCATTAAAAGTGACGCATTATTCCCTGCTCATGTACTTTTAACATCTATTTAGCTGCATGAAATTACCTCCTTACTTCACACAGCTGGAACACTTATTAGCGTAACCAGTGACAAGGACAGGTTAAAAGTGGTTTTAGTGAGATCACGTACTATTTCTAACTACACAACTGCCATAACAAAAGGTATACTGCTTTTAACACTGAATGTGTAAATCCTGCAGAAGTTTGTAAGCATTTAACTTTTATAGTTTAACTGGTCCTCATACAAGCCACTCTCAGTATGCAAATTTTAGCACATAAATAAGTTACTACAAGTTCTGTACATTGGATGGGATTGCACAGTATTCAATACAAGCCTGTCTCCCATTGTTTGCTTTATACAACACCAATCACAATGACAGCTCAAGGAGTAACAATACAGCCTAGCAAATTCCCTCCCCCCCCCAAAAAAAAAACCACTGTTCTGTTAAAAATATTCACACTAGTATTTTTACTTTTATTAAAAATCAGTTATTTGATATAAATGATACATCATAAACCTCTTTTTCAGTCTAGAATTAAACCTGGCCTCCTGCCTGTGTTTGGAATGCGTTCACAGATGTGGTCATTTATATACCCCTGTAAAGAATCAGCAGTCATTCAGTTATTTGGCCATCTAGAAATCAGATTTCAAAGATAATCAGAACTGTCCTATCTTTTCCCCATTGAAGTTACTAGGTATTTCAGAAGTATTTCAGAATTTGGTTCAAGTGTAGATGAGTTAGCCAACTTGGGATTCCTAGAAGATTCCACCTGGAAGCATCCCATTCATAGACATAGTTAGACCTACTTATTACCACCCTTCAGGCCAAGAAATACAAGAGGTAACAACTAACAATAATCTAGTTATTTAAGGTATATTTGGTTACAAATGCCCAAAGTTGGAATATAAATGCAGAAAATACCTCTATGTCTGTAGACCATAATCTGCCACAGTCAGGATAAAATTACAAGCCTCCTGTTTCAGGGGCAGAGGCTGGACACCGTGATGATCACACAGCACCTTATCCAGGTGCTCCTGTGCTCTAAGAACATACTATGTTCCTAGAGGAGAAAATGAAGAGTGCTGACTGCCAGTCTCAGTTCTAAAGGTTCCATTGTTGTAATACCTAGATAATAGTATTTCCCAAGAAACAATGTTAGGAAAGGTTTAGAAGTAGTGATTTCTTGCCTCTATTTCTTTAAGGGTGTTTTCCATATTATCTGTTATCCCAGCATAAACCATTGTTTCTTTCTTCTTGGTCTCTAGTATTTTCATTTCCTCCCATTTACTGAGAATTTTACACCTCATAGATTCATGCTGTTCAGAAACAGAAAGAGGTTTTTGTGCTCCCTTTGTATCCTGTTGTCTGCAGGTTTCTGGAAGTATAAAAACATACACACACAAAGACATAGTTAAAAGGACAGAGCTGGAAGTGGAAGTTACCTTACATCTAAGGCTGCATCCATAGCGCTTTCAGTAAGCATACCCGATAACAAGCTTGAGTTAACCGAGCCAAACAGTACAGGACAGGAGCACCCATGACATTACCCTAGCTCAGCTGATGCTTGCACCCACTGTACCCACACTTAATTTCCACCTGCAAATGTCTGAACACTGGCAAATGAGCTAGGCCACTCACCTTTCACTGTCATCCCAAACAAGGCCCTTTAGCACTTCATGTAAAGAAATGGTCAATCTCTCTATACAATGAGAACATAGACAAGGAGAAAATTCCTGTATCCCACACCAGCATGAGAAACTGATAACAGCATATAAGGAGCAGAATAAACATGCTGTACTCCCTCAGCAGTTCAGAAAATATACTTCAGTATTTTACAGACAAACTTCGCTGCCACCTCACCCACTCACCTCACTAAAACAAGTAAATAGCATGATCCTACGAGGTCCTACACAGCCAGCTCACAGTCCTGCCCAGCCAGGGTCTCACTCAACTCAAAGCACTTTTCAGATTTTCATAGCTTGTCAGTTAGCTCACCTGCAGCCTTTCAGTCTGTTCTGCTGTGGTGGGAGCTACAATACAGCCAGCTCCTCACTATACATCTAGGAAATGAGGGAGTCTGCAGGCACAAACTAATAGTGTCCTTCACTCCAAGGCCATACAACTGGTCAAATACAAATAAATAGGACAGCCAGGAAAAGTGTCAGGGTGTGTGGTTATACCTCCAAGGCTCTGCAGTTGCAGAGTAGGTGGAGAGAAGAACGAGAGGGAGGGAAATCACTGGCAAAGGGAATGGGAAAGGGAAGAAGAACAACTCATCTCTCCGCTGCATGAGACTTCCTAATGGTGTGGCCTGGCTTGTCTGACTGGTGCGGTGAGCAGATCAAGAAAATCCTGGTGATTCAGGGGCTACCTTGAAGCTGGCAGGGGCTTTTGAAGCCCACCATAGTTCACATTAGGCATGCTTGCAATCAAACAATTTTGTGCCATGCTGTCTAATTCAGGACTACACCACCGTGTTGGGTAATGAGGATGTTTTAACGATTAAAGACTGCCTGTTTTGATCCCAGAACACCTACATTTCCTACTCTCTGAGCAGCCTGTCAATAGGCAGCCAGCTCCTTCTGCCTCCCTCTGGTTTGCAGTGCAGTATCTGTATGCAATCAATAGGTTCAGCAAGAGCTGACAGCTTTGATGGAAAGCGAGACAGGGTGGAGGAAGAGAGTGTGAGCCTGACTTAAGTGATGCACTCACTTGTGTGGGAAAAGTACAATACCCTACCGTACTTCCTACCTCTCCCCATCCCAGGGGCTAACAGCTGCTAGCTTCTCAAAAAGTCCTCCCCTTTCATGTGAGCCAGTGAAAGTGAGAAACAGAATAACCTTCCTGTGGATCAAGAAGGCTACTGGATCTGGAAGAGTTTTACAGAAATGCTACATTGAGAGAATCAAAAAGTGACTTTTTTATTTAGAAAAGTTTTGGAAAACATTTTATCCAATTAAAAAAAAAAAAATCCCCATTTTTTAGTCTGGAAAAATCATAAAATTCTCATTTCAAGTTAAATTTGAATGAATGATTTTTTTTTTTTTTTTTTTTTTGATTGCTTAGCATCCCACCTCCCAAAACAAAAAGGAAAATGGTATTTGCAGAGCCCTGTTCCCTGAGGTGCCTGCACTTGTTGACACATTCAGGCCCCAGTTTCATGGCTGGGACTTCTAAATACAGCTGTAACATGAAAAGAGGAACAGCAACATTTACATCCTTCTGACTTGGCTGGTTTTGATTCCTCAATGTGTAATTAAGGAAGGTGGGGAAGGGAAGTATAATGTTAACTGATTAAGTACTTTTGAAATTAGTACCTGGTAGGGAGGAGAAGGGGAGAAACCTTTACCCGCTGTTTAAATGTCTTTATATCATTTTATGCAAAACCATTCCTCAGAAAAGCCTTGGCCTAGAGAGTTCTGATTGTTTTATTCATTAGTACTGCAGGAGATCTAGAGCCAATGGCCGATTTTATGTTTGTTTGTTTGTTTGTTTTTTAGTGGTTGTCTGCAAAGCTCTGAAATTCAAAACCTGTAGCATGCTGTAGAAACAAACATATTCAGGGAAGCTGCATCAAGAAATGCATTCATTGATGTGAAGACAGTTATACTGGGGAGGAATTTAGACCATTTTAAATGCTAAGGGAAGGAAAAACAAGAGCAAGCAAACAAAGCAAGCAGAAGCTGATTTGATTGTTCATTGTTCCTACTTACAGTGTGTTTGTAAAAGTGAATTAGATGCTAGTGGTAGGAGCTGCACATGGTGAGGTGAACAACTGCCCACAGCCTGGAGTAGGACAGTGACACACTGAGCATAAAGAGTACTTAAATCTTTCTCTTCCCTCAAAAGGAAATGCAGAAGACATTTCATATCACTATTTTAACAGCTATTTCCTTATTTGCCACCTTATAATTTGCAAACTGGCATGTTCTCATACTCTAGAACAAAACTATGCTTTGAGTACTTTTTATCAATAAAGGCATACAATGAAGGTATACTGTATACAGTTATACTGTATCCTAATGGAATTTTGCAGGATTTCCCAGTTCATCATCTATTAGCTTTTCTCATCACCCTTCCACAGCTGTCCAGATTTACATATTTTATCTTACTATGGCTAATTCAAAGATCCTGATCTAGATTCCACTGATCAAAAGCCTTATCAAAAGATACTGTTTCCCAGGCAGCACACAAACAGACTGTAAACTTCATTTTTGTTACTGAAACATAGTACTCTGCAAGTATCCAAAAGGGACTGGACAATATTATGGCTAACTAGAGGATCCAGGGCTGGTACAATCAAGACTGAAAAGACGCTTAAGATGGGCTATGAAGTCACATGGTTTAGGGCTTAACCTACTCACAAAAAGCATGAAATCCAGTTATCACACTTCTTATAGCTGAAGGGTTTAATATACCGTCCCCTGAGACATCTTTAACACACCAGAGTGTTGTGACTCTGACAGTGACAGAATCGGTCGCAGATTCAGAGATGATTTGGCAGTTCCCTAGGTTCCTTCAGTGCTAGAAAGTCTCCCATTGACATCTTCCAGTTATAGATAAGGCAAGGAGTGAAAAATGTAAGAAAGATGTCACATGACTAACTTCATTAGATGTCAGCACATTTTGATCATACTAACAGAAAAAATCTCAACAGCTGAGAATATTTTTTCCAGCTATTTAGAACACTATAGAGCCACAATTTACACCATATTTCATCTTTAATCAGAACTGTCCTATCCCTTACCTGTTTTATCCTCTGAAGTCTGGCTTGTCTGTAGCGCGATCTTCAATTCATCCTTCAATCTAGAATAGAACAAAAGGAACAAGAGATTCACAAAAACATTTTCAAGATCCTTTACAAATTATGTGAGTACATAGTTCTTACATGTAAGGAATGTTATTATATGTATGGCTAGTGGAATTGCTTGCCAAGCCACTTTCAATAATTTAACAGCAGTTCTAGCTAACTGAGGAGGCCCCAGTTGACTAGAGTTTGGCAAATATGAGGGCAGTAAGGATGATCCAGGAAATTACAGGTCTGTCATTCTGCCTTCAGTGCCAGGGAAGGTCATGGAGTAGATCATCCCAAGTGCCATCACATGGCACGTACAGGACAACCAGCTGATCCAACCCAGTCAGCATGGGTTTATGAAAGGCATGTCTTTCTATGACAAGATAACCCACTTAATGGATGAGGGAAAGGCTGTGGATGCTGTTTACTTGGACTTGACAAAGGCATTTAATACTGTTTTCCACAGTCTTCTCCAGGAGAATCTGGCTGCTCGTGACTTTGACAGATGTTCACTGGGTTAAAACCTGTCTAGATGCTCAGGACCAAAGAGTCATTGTGAATGGAGTTAAATCTGGTTGGCCACCAGTCACATGGTGTTTCCCAGGCCTCAGTACTGGGCACAGCTTTGGTTAACATCTTTATTAACAGCATTGATGAGGGGATTGAGTGCACCCTCAGTTAGATTGCAGACAACATCAAGCTGAGTGAGAATTTTGATCTTCCTGAGGCCAGATTGATAGGCCACATCTAATTGCATGACCTTCAACAACGCCAAAGACTGGGTTCTGCGCTTGGGTCCTAACAACCCCAAGCAGTGGTATAGGCTTGGGGAAGAGTGGCTGTAAAGCTGTCTGGCAGAAAAGGACCTGGGGTTGCTGGTCAACAACCAACTGAACATGAGCCAGCAGTGTGCCCAGGTGACCAAGAAGGCCAATGGCATTCTGGTCTGAAGCAGAAATAGTGTGGTCAGCAGAACTAAGGAAGCGATTGTCCCTCTGTACTTGGCAGTGGTGCAACCTCATATTCCTTAAATCCTGAGGGGCCCAAAAGTGAACATGGTGCTCAGTCTCCCTCTGCTTCATTAAAATTGCAGCTTCTTTTCATGGGAGAGGAAATTTCTTGTTCACTGTATGAAAATACTGAAGCAATTACACGTTACCTACCCACATAGACAGATAGGCAGCGCAATAACATAAGTGGACAGTTTAGTTCTGTATACACTTTAATATTCTTTCTTCCCTTCTCCTTATCAAATCTCCAAAATCTTATCAGATATTCTAATATCTACTAACCAATTTTATTTACCGAACAAAAGACAAAAAGTCTTGTATGAAAGTCTTTTCCTCTGCCTACCCTTCAAGTTTTCCTTCCCACATGGTCCATTGTAAGAAAAGGAAAAAATTGGTCTTAGGCTTCCAGTGGCAAATAACGCATGCAAATATTTCAGATTTTGATTGTTAATTTTCCTGCAAAGCTTGAATTTTATCATTACAATACGGCAAGATTCTAAATTTCTGTGGTAACAGATTACTGTCCAGAACTGAAAGGTCTTCTAGGGTATTTATTTATTTACCTAGAACTGTCAAATCTCTCAAGAACTACACTAAATCATTCTAGGATGTTTATCATTATTTTCTTTCAGCCCTTTGGCAGAAGACAAATGTCGTATTTTCCCCTTTACCTTTAAATACTTATAAGAACTTGCACAAAAATCAATCTCTGTAGCCTAGACAAAATTTGTATATGCATGATCTATAAATATTACATACTATGCCCTGATCCATCTTAACTTCATGCCAGTTTGACTTTATCCCACAGTACTATGTAATAATGAATTGTCTCTGTATAGACAAGCATACATGTGTAGAGTGCTGGACCACTATTATCCTCCTGTTTACACTAGCAGAAACTAGGGAACATGAGTCTCTTTCACACTTTATCTCAAATGCAGAATCATCCAAACTACATTTCGAAAGCACAATGTAACGCTTAATGTGTACACACTAAATATTATGGAAACAACAACTGCAATGACTTAAAGACCTCAAGTCATCTAGTCTAGTTAGAAAACTGTTTACAAGAAAAAGGGATAGATAAGTCAGGCAACCACCAGTTTAGTGAAAGAGTGATTTCTGAATTCTTCAGGCTGTTGAAAGATAGTAAAGGGAGAAAGAAGAAGAAAGTAGGTAGGCAAGATCTCCTGCAGGATATTTTTCAAGCTTAAAGACTGGAGCTCTGGGATTAACCAGCCATAAATTCCAACACTCAGGTTAGCAACCTAGATCAGAGTTTGGAGCAGGAGAAAGGAGATTTAGAAGCTGTGATGTATAACATCAGCGTCATGTAACAGAGTCATGGAAACATGGGGCCAGTCCAATGATGGCAGAGTGCCTGAGAAGGTCTGAGAATTAGCTAGTCAAACCAAGTCTGGTTTTAGAGGACAGGACACCAGCAATAAACAAAGGGCATGCTTTGTTGCTTCCATTGTAAGGAACATAGTTGGGTTCCAGCAGAAGTCACAAGTCTAAAATCTCATGATGCAGGCTGCTGCCCATGTGGTCAGGAGACTTCTCTGTCATGACATTAGCTACCTGAATGGCATCAGTCAGGAATAGCAAAACGGGAAACCATTTGGGCTTCAGAGCCTTAGCTTCAATGCTAAACTATGTCCCCCAGTGTGATTGGTATGAAAGAAAAAAGAAATATCAGAAATATATATTAAGAAAGCGGAAAGATAATTACCTAGAATAAGTCATCCACAGGGTCTAATCTTTTGAAGTTTCTGAAAACTTCAAGAACTTGGTTTACTTGTTGCTGTTTTAGCCCATTTAGGTAGTTGCTACTAGAGGGATTGAAAGCATTTGCAACACTTACTCTTTGCTTCTTTCCAGGGCAGTACTGACTTTTTTCATGAGAGCCTTCAGGTATTTTCTGACAGACTGTATTTCTGAAGCCTTTGAGGACATTGTTTCCATCCCTTTGACCTGAGCCTTTAGAGCCTGTAAGAATGCATAAACAAGAGTAAAATGTCAAGTCATGTAGCGGCATTATTTCCTTTGCAAAACATGCAAGTTCTGGTACCATTTTTAAAATTATGTTTTTAGTAAAAATAAATTCTGATGAAAACTTCTGAATGAGATATTCATAAGACTAACAGCTAACAGGCCCAGGCATGAACCAAAAAACTATGGCAGGTTTTAGAGTTGGCCAAAGAGTTTCTTTCAATTTGTAACTAGATTAAAGGCCTGTAACAGATTATAAAATAAATAAATAAAATAATAAAATAAAATATTACACAATTATAGACAATTATACAGAAAATTTATTTTTCCTTTGCACATCCCAACCAGCCAATATGAAGACTCAGACCCATGCAAACCCCTGCTTTTCCAACAATCCTTTCAGATGCTTTGCCATGTTACTTATTCTAGATGTTAATGATGAATGCAGCACAGCTTACAGTATAAACTTTCATTTTCATTTCAACAGACTGTCAATATCAAAGAGAAGCTCCAAGGCTCAACGCCAAAGAGAGTGGATAACTAAGGCAAAATCTTCAGAGCAAATCCAAACAGTCTGCTCAGGGTCAATGCCTGAAAAGCATCACCAGCCTAAAAAGCTAGCAGGGCAGAAAAGGGCTAGTTTTAGAGTAGGGGAAGTTAAAGAGGAAGAATGCAAGAGAAGGGAGCAGAGACTCACAGGTCCAAGCTAGGCTGAAATGGGGTCCTGGCCATAGATAGGAGGAGACCCTGGAAAGGCTCAGCAATGACAGGCAGGGCTCGTAGTACCCAGTGTCAGGGTCTGACATCTCCTCTGTTCTCTCCTTCTGTGGTGGAGCACGCCTTTCCTGGTGCCTTTTCCTTTTTCCAGAGATGAGATGATACTGACAAGGAAGTTAGGAGGAAAAGGGGATGCACAACCCTACTCCTGGCAGCCTGAAGCCAATGTCACCTCCTGCACAGCATCACTTACTGCAGTAAGCCTGACATGGAGCCACTGAAGAGGACACTGGACTGTAATAAGCACACATCCTTCTGCCACGTTCATTGCATGTCTCACAGCAGAAATTCAAATTTGGCCACCTCTACAAAGAACAGAGAAGACATTTACCTGAGGCCTCCTCCCTCTATGTGCCTTCAACAGCTGTCTATATGTCTGTAACCTGCCTATGAACCATAGCCCTAAAGGTTTGGACACAGAGGAAAAGCAACTTTTCACAAGGTTGGATGTGCCTGTTCTAGGGTTGAGAGTGAAGCCCCTTACTCTTTTCAGAGAGACCACCAAAATGGAGCTCAGGCCAACCTCTTTATCTATTATTAGCAGTGGGGGACACATGCAAATAAGTAACAAGTTTGATACAAGGACAATAGGTCTGATACTTCAGAAATCCAGCAAAGGCTATTCTCTGCTTATTCTGCAGCAGCTACTTTCTCAGTTATTATCCCTAAGTGTTGCTACCACAGAAACTGTAAGCACTGAAGCAAAGGCACTAGATCTCCCATATCAAAGGTAAGTCCAGAAAGTGCCCATGTCTGATTTCAAATACCTCATTTCTCTGTAGCATACTCAGGGAAAAATTCACAACTGTACGTGGATATAAAGATGTCTCTTTTCAAAAACAAAGTCCTTAGGCCTTACAGCATAATTAGGAGCAAAGATCAAGAACCAAATATTACCTTGTATTGTGCCATAGGCAGAGAGTCCAGAAGCATCATTATGTACAGCTCATACTCACTCTGAACAAATTGAGAGGAAAGAATGTCAGAAAATGTTTAACACAGTCTAGAGATTATAAAGTCTTGTTTCGCTTTGGTTCCAGAAAAATCATAACTTTTGTGCTGGCATGAGGAGATTAGTTGTGCTGCCACACATGGTTTTACTTAAAACACAGAGTTAGTATTTGCCAATGTTATACCCCATACAATTCAATTACCCAGCTAGCTCCTCTTCCTCAAGGATTACTTGCCTGTAATACCTATCTTTCCCTCACCTATAACTGCTGAATTTCAGTGTGTAATTATTTGTCAAGAAACAGAGGAATTACATTTTTCTCCTCAGTTCTTTCTGGGAAAGTTAATGTAGAATTTATGTCATTAGCAACACGTTACAGTGTACAGAATCAGAGTGTAACTTCATTTTTATCATAAACATTTTATTTCTGTTTCACATGCAAATTACTGTCCTGAGTGCCCAGGAAGAGAAACAGATTTGATTCCCACATAAAAGGCTTCAATCGCCATCCTTCAGCACAGTGAAAAATCAAAAAATAGGAAAAAATAGGAAAGTCATTAATATACGTCAGGTGAGAATTATCACTCCTCACATGTGACTGTCATGAGTGAGAGGTAGACAGGTAATTCACGTGTAGGTTACAGATAGATTTTTTTTCCAAAATACTTTATGGACTTTAAAATTAGGGCTAGAGTTGAGGTTTTGTTTGTTTTATTTTTAATAATGTATTTTTCAAACTGTTCAAGATGTAGCCAAAAGTTTTGTGTCTGTGCAACTCACACAGTAAATTTGGGGAAAGCCTAGAAAAGAACTTACAAATCTTTCCCAAAAGCTGACTGCTCTTCCTACCTGATCAGGTACATTCAGCTTATGTTGTGCTAAATCTTTGAAATAATTCTTACCTTAATTTCCTTGAGAATATCACCAAATATCAGAGAACTGTTGCATATATCTTCAAAAACTTCCTCAACAACCTGTAGTCGCTTGAAATTGAGGGGATCATAGCCACAGATTTTCTGAAGCTCCTGGTAAAAGCACCAACATTAACAGCTACATATCCACATGCGCAGAAGGTGCTCTACAGCAGTTGCTCTACAGTCAGAATAAGTTACTTTGTTCAACTTCATGTCATTTCTTCTGATAGTATGCAGTAAGAAACATCATGAGAATCCAGATCAAGTTCATAGTCATAACATGAATACTGCATTTTTATCACAGTAAGAAGAAAGATCACATTCAAAAAGACTGGATGTACGGATTATTTAAAAAAAAAAAAGTAGAAAACGAAGAAGTCACTGATTTGTGTGGCAGAAGACAATTATGACATTACACCTCAACCTATTGCTGAATGTCTTGCTTACACATTTACAGCCAACCCTTCCATAAGCATAAATTAGTCTCTCTACTGATTTTAACAGATCATCTCCAGTTTGGAAGAAGCAGACCTGGGAACATGTTGCATCCCTTAAAGCAACTGTTGTTAGCTTAGGAAGACATAATTAATATATAAATAATCTTATAAACCCTATCTAAGGAATGCAATGCTTAAAATCATATGCTTATAATCTCATGGTTTTACATATCAGCTCTGAGTAATAAACCTGAGACAGAGAAAGAGTCTCTCAGGAAACCTCCTCTATTATAAAAACTCTTTCTCCAGAGTGCTGCTGGCCTCACCTCAAAGTGCTCTGTTCCTAAGATTAACTTTTCCGAAACAAGCCTCCTAGGTAGATAATCAATTGTGGCAGTTCTTCACTTTGTGAATATCCTTATTTCAAACCAAGGCTGATAGAAATTTTGACCATTTAATCAAAGGCCAAAGATTACCATCACTGCAAGAGTTACCCTATCTCAAAAAAAATTTACTTATTCAAAGTGTTTCTGATAAAATGTTTTTCTGGGAAAAACTGTTTTGAAAAATACAAGATCAAGCTGTTACCCTGCTATAATACATCGCTTTGTCTTAAATGTTTTTCCCCCATCCTTTCTTCCCTTTTCTCTGGCTTCTTAAACCAGAGGCATAGGAGAATGGTTGCTTGAAATCATTTATTGGGGTGGAAAGCAACCATTTTGGCCAGTTGCTTACTTGCATGACAGATGATACTTCCTAGAATCCGCTGGAGAATGGAGCTCTTACTCACACTACCCATTTTGTTAGTTTACCTACCCCAGGCTGCTTTCATTCAGTTCCATCTCTAATTTCTATGACTCCAGTACCTTATTCTTACTCCCGCAGCTGGTTCTAAGAGATTGCTAATGGTTACCCCAGGGCAGTAACTCAAGTAAATTCTAGAAGGTGTATTTGCTTTACTCACCAAATTCACTCCCCCCATTCTACCCATCACATGAGGCCAGTCAGAATGCAGCAAATATCTGTGCATAAAGACAGTCTACGGCATGCACAGAGAAGGTAGCTTTTACAGTTTATCTTAAACATGCTCCTAGACAAGAGGCAGAGCTGCTGGCCAAATGATTTTCCCATGCAGATCACTAGCTTGCAGTATCCTGCTTTACTGTATACTTAGCATTTCCACAAGACAAGAGGAGGAAGAGAAAACAGTGGAGTAGAGTTTTAGTTCAAGGCTTTGGAACACAGAGTGGATGCACCTTACAAGAGGGCAACTAAGCAAATACATGTGATTAGTTCTCTGAAAAGAAACAGGAGGGTGATTTTGCCTAAATGCATTCATTTAATTTTCCTAGAATACACATAACCCATCCACCTAGAAAGGTGCTCCAAATTTTACTTTTCCATCAGTTTTGGGGCTCTCTTACCTTAGCCAGCTTCCTTTCATGCTGTTCTGATACTTTTTTTCCTGTTAAGTCATTCTGTAACAATTCATGCTTTGCTATGAACTCCTTCTGGAACTGTAGGAACTTGTTAAACTGATCAGTTTTAGTTACACCAGCCAAATATGAAGGTATGAACTGGTATTCTTCTTTGGCAAGCTCAACAGCACACTGTCGGCTGTTCTTAACTGGTTTGTTTTTCAGCACCATAATCTCTGACATATCTAACTCCTCACTTTTCAGACGCATATGGAATCTGTCAGTTCCCTCCTCTGCTTTCTTTTTCAGTGCTTTCAACTTTAATATTTCTGGTGCATTAGAATTTGCATCTACTGAGGCACCAATGCTGATCACAGGTGACTGTGGATGTCTGTCGTTGGGGAAGGAAGATTCAGCCTGTGCTGGAAGCAGAGGAATGCTGGAACAAAAGTTGCCAGAACAATTTTTCATCTTCCTTGTTCTCTCATGTTCAACCAGGAATTGATTTCTTTCTGTGACGAAACTAGTTTGCTTTGAAGGCTTATAAAGCTTGTTATGATTTAAGTGTCCTGAGGTGTACTGCTTAACATCTGTTCTGTAGGTCAGTTCCACGCTATCTGAGGGATGAGCCAGGCTCCTCACTTCACGGTTTCTCTCCATGATGAAATGGATTCTTGTACCACACGCTTATAAGAAATAGGAAATAATACACTTAATAATAATACACAAAATACACTTGAAAAAGGGAAAGCTTTGGATGACCAAATGTTTTCACAGATCAAAACTCTCCCAGTTCTATAACAGAACATTTTAAACAGACATGCCCTACAAAACTATGCTACCTTCCTTCTTATCCACAGCAGTATATAAATAGTATATAAATAACTAAACAGACCTGGACACACCAGTAGGTTCTTGCTAAGCTCAGACTCTGCTCATTTGCTCACACTGATTGGTAACGCTCTCTGTTTTTTGTTTGTTTGTTCCCCTCCCCCAGCCCCCCCCAGTCTCTCCATGGTCCTGCTGCTTAAGGAGCCTATTATGCCTAACATTAGGCCCATGGTTGGTCAGTTTCTACTGTATATCAAATTACAAACAGCTTTAGACATTCAGTCTTCTCATTTTAAATCTTTGTTCATCGTCAGATTATATTTTGCTACATGCTAATCTTGTCCCAGTTTCTGTATTGCTAATAGTTCTCTCCCATCATCTACTCCTTAATGTCTTTTATAGAGAGAAATATTATGGCTCCTCTCAGCCTTCATTTTACCTAATAAAAGAAAATAAGCTTGATATATATATATATATTTTTATCTATAAAGTCAGTTTTGTGAGGTAGTCTCACAATTCTTCTAGTTATTTCAGTAATGATGGCATATTCACATGAGATCGCTGTTACAAACTGCAAACTTTTTTGAAACTCAATTATTATTGTACTCTGGCACAAAGTAACCTAATAAATGAGTCACTGTTGTGCTCTGAAATGTTGAGTAGTATTTAGCCTTATGTACACAGATACCCTGCTCCTGCAGGACCTTGTATCCTTAGGGGATGAGGCGGTGATGCCCACAAAAGCAGAATTAGGAAGACAAGAATTTTGTGAGATATTTTAAAGGGGGAAGAAGTTTGGAGGAAAACAATGCAACTCCTTTCAGTGCTGCATAGAGACTGAGTATCAGGAGGCAACCAAGGTGCCTATGGGTGCTTAGGACAGCTCTCCATATCGGTACAAGATCTTCAAATGGCCACACAGCCTGACAGATACCCACACGATACATGAAAGCAACTGGTACCTGCAGGAGGCCATGCTAGAAGGGCAGGGGCATGGCCTGACCTCAACATCCCACTCACAAGATCTACTGGCCACCCATGAGAAAGTCAACGAGAAACACAACAGTGCATTTGCATTGTCAGCATGTGCCAGGATGACTGGAATTTTGCTGTCAGTGCTAGCAACAATAAGGCCAGCTACAATGAGCTAATGTTTCCAAGTAGCTCTTCTTTTTGTCTCCCTGTTCTGGTTTCAGTTAGGACAGAGTTAGTTTTCTTCCTAGTAGCTGGTAGAGTGTTATGTTTTGGCTTAGGATGAGAAGAGTGCTGATAACATGCTGATGTTTTAATTGTTGCAGAGCAGTGCTTACACCAAGCCAAGGACATTTCAGCTTCTCACTCTGTCCTGCCAACGGGCAGGCTGGGGGTGCAACAAGAGCTGGAAGGGGACAGACCCAGAACAGCTGACCCAAACTAGCCAAAGGGGTATTCCATACCATCTGACATAGGGATCCATAGGGATGGCTAGCCGGGGTGGGGAGCCGGCTGCTTGGGGTTAGGCTGGGCATCGGTCAGCAGGTGGTGAGCAATTGCATTGTGCATCACTTGTTTCATACACATTATTAGTGGTGGTACTATTGTCATCATTATTGTTGTTATTATTGTTGTTATTATTACTTTCCTGTTTTAATAAACTGTCTTTATGTCAACCCACAGGCTTCACTTTCCCATTTCTCTTCCCCATCCCAGACAGAGGGGGGGAAGGGTGAGTGAACGGCTGTGTGGTGTTTAGCTGCCGACTGGGTGAAACCACGACATTCCCTAGCACAGCCTGCTTCACCTTCTCAAGATGGCAATATAGTTAAAAGAGATTCCTCTTAGCCCACTCCTGCCTCCCCAGCCAAGCCAGTCTGCCTATGGCTGCTGAATTGGTGGCACAACAGGTTTTTGTTTTGTTCTGTTTTTTCCTGGCAAGCTGGTCCTGTCCAGTGCTGAACATGGAGGGCTTGGCATCAGTGCTTGTAGAAAAGGGCCTTCAAGCCAGTGAGACAACATTGCCAATACAGTGACACCTCCAGACAGCCATCCTGAAATAGGAGGACACCTCTCCTCATGGAGGGACACAGACCCTGCAGAGAAACATACAGAAGCACCACCTCTACATTTATACCAGTACTAGACACCATGATTAAAATGCATTAACACTAATGGGTAAAGCAAAGAAACATGTCCACTCTACGCAGTAGGGAAGGGAGACAAGGGGCCAAAAACGCCCAAGTAAGCTTTTTCCTTCACTCATCACTGAAAAAGAGGAGCAGGTGGCTAGTACAGGTAACACAGCGAGAGAAGGGTAAATAAACGTTACAAAAGTTATAGCCTGAATAGATGGATTAGACAATACTTAGAGTAATGTGTTGCTGATTTGGCTGAACCTGATGAACATCTGTCTAGCATATGAGAAAAACTGCCTGAAACAGTCTCAGATGCATTAGCAGTTACTTTTGAGAAGACAGCTGGAGACAGATGACCCACCAATGATGGGAAAAGCTTCAGCACAGGGTCTATCTTTAAAAAAAAAATAAGTGGGGAAGAGAGAGAAGAGAGGAGTAAAAGCTCAGCAACTTTACCTTCAACTTCCCAAAAGAAAAAAGTATCCTGGAAAAATAAAATTGCTTTAAGAACCTAAACAACTAATGATGAGCTGAATAACAACAGCATGTTATTAGTGTTTTATATTAAGGGTGTTAGTGCAGGGGAAAAACAGTAGTAGCGGCATATTTTGACTTTACTTAGGCTTTTAGTATTGCCTTTTATAGCATTCTCCTAAGTGAGAAAAAATAATAATCTAGAAGTAGGTAGGCTAGCCTGGGTACAATAAACAAATAAATAAATAGAATAAACAAACAAACCAACAAAAAAAGTAAAATTATATTCAAAGAGGAATTTAAAAGTTTCTTTATCCAAATGAAGGAGGTACCAAGCAGTATTCTATGAAGATTCGACTGGAATCTGGACCTGATTTTCCCAGCATTTTTATTTATATTGTGGATGATGGAATACACAATATGCTTGTTAAATTTACAGATGATATGAAATGGAGAGGGATGCAGATAGTCTCAGAGACAGAGGTTGGAACTGAAAATGCTTTTGATAAATTAGAGACATTCTGAGAACAGCTGCATGAACTTCAATATGGGCAGAAACAATCAGCTGCCCAGCAGCCAGCAACAGCTGGTTCAGTATAAAATTATTTAGAAAATATCTTGGGAATATTGTGAATGATAAGGTCAACACCACTCAACAGTGTCAGTGTGGTGAGCAAGACAAATGCCATTCTGGGATGTACAGAGCACTATTGAAGATGAAATACTCCTGTCAATGCTAGCAGCACAGAAGAGGCTTCAGCCAAATGTTGTGCCCAGTTTCAGCCACTGCTCTTTGGGAAAGATTTAGGACAACTGGAGGACTCCAGACAAGAGTGAGTTGAAACCACGGCTGAGAAGAAAAATCATATAGGTGGAGGAATTTAATTTAGCCTGAAGAAGAGACTGAATAAAGGGAGAAAGAGCAAAAACCATGCATGGCTGCCCTTGCTACCCAGGAAAACAGACCTAGGAACTCACATACACAATCAGAAAGTCAAATCCTGACCCATCAGCTGAGATAACATTTTAACCACCAGGATTCCCTCACTATTAAACAATATTAGAAGCCCATATTTATTTATCTGCAGTCAGAGCCTTGACTTACATAACAAGGAGTAATATATTTATATGGGATAGGCTCACTGGAAGAGGGTACACTGGGGAGAATTAGAAGACTATAGATACGCATAGGTTTCAAGTAGCACAGAATAAAAGCTGTTGACTGACATTTACTAAGACAGTCATTCCTTCATTCCTTATCATTCCTTCAACAACAGGGACTCAGGGAGTGAGGAGTGGGGGGAAATAAGTTAATTTTCCCTTCTTGCCACTTCAGTCATTTTTTATTTTCTTATTTTTAATTCTTCTGATTTGAGAACCATTTAATTGTTACTGTGATTGATTTGTGTTGCAGGGATGGAAATGAACATGATAATAAGATTGTGATTTTTTCATAAAAATGTGAGAGATAAAAGAGCATATTGCAGTATGTTGAGTGGAGGAGAGGCAGTGGCAGCTGCTACTGAGAAAGAAGTGTCTAACTGATTATATTTGTTCCTCTTTTCTTTCTTTAAGCACACACACAAACCTCTTGTGAAAGTTACTTTATTTATTCTAGAAATGTAACAGTATGCTGGCTAGGTGTAGGGCAGATAAGAAGACTACTTTTGTTTGCCCATTGAGAGTAGAGCCTGAGATTACCCTGAAGAGACATCTAGAGTTGGAGTGGAATAAGCTCATACTCAGATGTTGTCCCTTAATTTCCTCTCTGGGCAGACCACAGTAGTCTCAAAACCTTAATGGAGGAGCAGCCTTGAGTTCAGCCCTCTTATAAACTGAGGCTTTAAGTTCTAAATGGATGGGAGATGAGGTAAAGTAAGGCATGAAGCAAAAAAAAACAACAAACAAACAACCAACAAAACAAAAAGTAGTTTGTAATAAAAGAGTTTTCTTGACCTGTCCAGGAGCAGGAATTCACAATTTTGTCTCCTTATTGACTATATCAATGAGCAGATAGCAAAGATGAACACCTCAGGGCATGTATTTCCTGGTAGGGGACAGGTCTGCATCCTATTACCATCATTTCTCGTGGTAAGTGGGAGAACAGTATGACTAGTGGCATACAAGTGTCCAAAGGCACTGAGCAACAGCCTGGGCAGCACAAGACCTTCCTTCTCTGTCTAAGAGTATCTACTGCAGGTAAGTGTAGCCTGCTTCTAAAAACCCATCCCACCATGCCCATTCAGTTTATAGTAAAAGAAAATACTGCC